GCAAACAGGTCTGACATCAAGACGTACGGCAGAAGGCGGTTACAATTAAATTTTGGTCCTAAATCTAATTTTTCCTGGAGTTTCATCATAGCGGACGTCCTCGTTCCTATAATCGGCATTGATTTTCTGCAATTCCACAAAATACTGGTAGACGTCAGAAATAGGAAACTTGTCCTTGCCAAACAAAGTAAGGAAATTAGAGGAATTATATCAAATGAGACTTCCATACATTTATTAGTTAAACCTCATCACGAGGACGACAAATACGTCAATTTACTTAATCAGTTTCCAGACTGATTACGACCGAGTTTTAAACACGACAAACCGACGCATACCGTCGTACACAACATAAAGACAGAGGGTCCACCAGTGTTCGCACGTCCAAGACGCCTTGATCCCTCTCGTCTGGCTATCGCAAAGACCGAATTCAACAAAATGATTGAGTTGGGCATCATACGCCCCTCCGATAGTCCGTGGGCATCACCGCTCCATATGGTACCTAAGAAAAACTCTTCCGAAGTTAGACCGTGCGGTGACTATAGAGCTCTCAACAGCCGGACCATACCAGATAGATACCCTCTCCCACATTTGCATGACTTCACTCATAGCCTATCTGACGTGTCGATTTTTTCAAAAATTGATCTCGTCCGTGCTTACCATCACATTCCAATTCATCCGGACGACGTTCCTAAAACAGCCATTACTACCCCCTTTGGACTATATGAATTCGTCCGCATGCCTTTCGGATTAAGGAATGCTGCACAAAGTTTCCAGCGTTTTATTGACCAAGTGGTACGGGGCTTACCGTTTGTGTATGCTTACATAGATGACCTACTTATAGCAAGCAAAGATGAAAAAGAACATCTAACTCATCTGAAAATACTTTTTGAGAAGCTAAACGAGTATGGGTTAGCAGTCAATCCTGACAAATGTGAGTTCGGAAAACAATCCCTCACCTTTTTAGGTCACGTACTTGATAAGCAAGGCATTAAACCAGTTCCTGAGGAAACACAAGCTATCAAAAATTATCCTTTGCCTGATTCATTCAAGAAACTACGACGTTTCCTTGGGATGATCAACTTTTACAGACGTTTTATCCCTAAATGTGCAGACTTAGCAAAACCACTAACTGATTTATTAAGGGGACGAGCTAAATCATTAGCAATGACACCGCAAGCAATTCAAGCATTTGATCAGTTGAAAAGCGCTTTAAGCACAGAGACATTACTCGCACGACGAAAGGTTGATGCACCTTTAGCACTAATGACCGACGCTTCTAACGTAGCAGTAGGTGCTGTACTTCAGCAACGTGTCAATGAACAATGGCAACCCCTTGCATTTTTCTCAAAAAAGCTAAACGCAACGCAAACAAAATATAGCACATTCGGTAGAGAACTGTTGGCTATCTACTTAGCCATCAAACACTTTCGCTACATGTTAGAAGGCAATTCTTTCACGATATATACTGATCACAAACCTCTAACTAAGTCCTTGATGCACAATCATGATAAATACAGTCCGCGCGAAATTCGTCAACTAGAATTCATTTCACAATTTACAGCTGATATACGCTATATTAAAGGCAATGCAAATGAGGCAGCAGATGCACTATCGAGATTAAATATCAATACCTTCTCGATCCCTGATATAGACTATCAAGAAATGGCAAAGCATCAAAAGCTCGATACGGAGCTACAAAAACTTTTGCAGTCTAAGGAAACGAAATTATTATTCCAAAACATCCCCATAAACAACAAGGACACCTTAACTTGTGATACCTCAACAGGTAAAAGTCGCCCTTTTGTACCTTACGGCATGAGACGAAATATTTTTGAGAAATTACACAATATATCTCATCCAGGTATAAAAGCCACTGTAAAGCTTGTCACAGATAGATTTGTATGGCCAAAAATAAACGAAGACGTACGAAAATGGTCACGGGAATGCGTCCAATGCCAAAAGTCAAAAGTATATAGGCACATCATATCTCCTAATGGAATTTTTCCAGCCGCTAGCGCTAGGTTCGACCATATTCATATCGACATTGTTGGACCGTTACCGATTTCTAATGGTTACACGCATATATTAACATGTATAGATAGATTTACGAGATGGCCCATAGCTGTTCCGTTAAAAGACACATCAGCATCAACAGTGGCGAAGAAGCTGGTGAAACACTGGATTACAAACTTCCGTGTCCCTAAAACAATTACGACCGGCCGTGGAACGCAATTCGAAAGCAAACTATTTCAGCAACTTACAGATACTTTCGGTATAAAGAGAATTAGAACCACTACTTATCATCCGTCTGCTAATGGAATGATAGAAAGATTCCATAGACAGTTAAAAGCCTCTTTGACGGCCGCACGAGGAGATTACAAATGGGATATCAAGCTTCCTTTGATACTATTAGGCATTCGCTCAACCATCAAACAAGACCTCGGTTGTTGTGCTGCTGAGTTGGTTTATGGAACAACATTACGTTTGCCTGGTGAATTTTTTGACCGTGCAACAGATATTCCAGCAGATATAACCAACTACGTACAACAATTAAAACAGCAGATGGAATCCATTAGGTCCGTTAAACCACGAACCCAAAAGGTGAAATCATTCGTAACCAATGAACGAGACAAATGCTCACATGTATTCGTCAGAAATGATAGAGTACGACAGCCGTTACAGACTCCTTACGACGGCCCTTTTAAAATCATCCGAAAGGACAATAAAACGGTTACAGTGGAAACAGCAGGTAAACATGATACTGTTAGCATCGACAAAGTAAAACCAGCATTTTTAGAGAACACTGAAAAACAGACAACTGTAAAACCGTCTAAACCTGCAGCAGAGCAAGCACCATTCAAACTACCTGCAACAAGCAACACTTCAAATCAAAGTTCAGCAGCAGCACAAACTACAACAAGATCAGGAAGAACAGTACATTGGCCAGATAGGTATGTAGCAACCACTATATTTATCTAGACCAAATCCTGAGACTACTCTTATAACACATAAAAATCCTACTTTATTTTGATTGCTATTTTTTTATTGGCCCCACGGATCATCATTATGCTTACATTGCAGTGCCCAAGTGACAACTGTTTGAAGCCGGTCACACATGAGTGGTTTTCGTGTTAGCTCCGTACTTGTTGAGACCTTACTACCGGAGACGAACATCCGTGGGATAAGGCGAGGTGTGCATTTTTAGGATCGACCTTTTCTAACCCCAGCCCTCCATGTGGGAATGTAGCATTGCTGTTATGCTGGTTGTCTGAAGGAAACACCTTACTGCCGTCATACCTCGGTACAGTCATCAGTACGACTTCATTCTCGGACCTTGGGTTTGCTGCCTTCAGTCTTACCGTTCTTCACCCGACCTGTCTGGCATGGTAGGAGCTTGAGGAAAGACTGTTCCAGCCAGTATAGCTCAACTGATTCATTACGATAGGCAAGCCCGACTACCACGTCGAGGTAGCAACAACTGCTCCTCTTTTTTCGAGGAGCAGTTCAACTGGTTTGCTGCCCCGGCAACATCGATCAGACTGCCCTGCCCTCCATGGCCTGTGACGACTGATCAACCAAATGAGGCAGAAGTTCGCAAGGAACTCCAACTCCTGAAGCTCTAAAAATTACCGGGCTCAGATGACTTACTTCCGGCCCTTTTTGAAGATGGTGGAGACCTGGTTATGGAACTGATTGAGTTGCTTACAAAGGTTTAGGAGTTAGAGAGTGTCCCAACATCGTGGAATGAGTCCATACTTTTGGTACGTGGTTTGCACCTTACAAGTGCAAAGTACTTTCACAAGAATGGCAGAATCATGATCCTGCGCTCACCATGGGTAGTGAACAGATAGAAGCAGTCGATAAGTTCGTGTATCTGGGTAGCTGCATAAGTGCTGGTTGTGGCATGGGTGATGAGATGGTCAGTGAAAGTCAGAACGGCTTATGCCAATCTGGACCATCTTTGGCGCCTTAGGAATGCTAGTTTGGCTGTAAAACTTCGGATCTACAACGCGTCGATGAGAGCAGTTTTGCTCTATACTTGTGAAGCTTGGCCTCCACCAGTTGTGGATGTTAGACGACTCTCTGTGTTTGATCAACGTTGTCTCCGAAGGATTGTTGACATTCATTGGCAACATCATGTTAGTAATGCAGAGGTTCGGCATCGTGTGTTCGAGCACAGAGACGACAATTCAATTTGCGTCCCTATCTTGAAACACCGACTTCGGTGGCTTGAACATATTCTACGAATGTCGTTAAAGAGAATTCCACATCGTGCATTGTTTGCGGACGCTGGAACTAGTTGGATAAAGCGGAGAGGCGGTCAGTGTATAAAATGATGTAATGGTATGAAAGAAAACTGTACAGGACTGACTTTTGTTGGACCTTCACGACTCCTTGGTTGGGGTCCTAGAGATGGTACAACACAGTGGTTAGAGATGTTATCAGATATGGCTCAAAACAGAAGCCAGTGGTGATCCTGCTGTAACTATTTCGCATCATAAAAAAGGAGGTAGCTTCTTTAACTGGAAGAAATCTCTCTGCTAATTGAACTGTCTCTCCCATTACTATTATTTCACTTTCATACACTAATTTCTGTTCTTTGTTGTTCCACTTTTACTTATACGTACCTTACATTCTTTATCTCTTCACACTCTCATTGTTATTGTGTGACACATATGTATTTGGTGCCCGCTCGTACCAATGTTTGTGTTCCAAATAATAAATAAGTACTAGGGAATATGTTTGAAATTCATCAGAACTAGGATTGTTTAATGAGATTGAGATTTTATGAGTAATAATTCACTGATATTGAAGAATTATAGATAACATATGAAATGGTCTAGACGTTTATGAAAATCAAATGAGAAACTGAAGACTCTACATATTAAAAAATGAAAAGCAGTGTTTCATAAACTAACTTTGTACGAATGGCATGCTGCTTTTATACGATTACGTTTTTTAAAGAGTAACCGACGAGGATAGTGAAAAAACGGACTTACCGAGACTGTCCTCGTTGACCCAAACGTCGTGGTTTTACATTTGGAAATGCACGTTTCATGACCTTTCCAAAATCTGCCGTATTTAGAGTTTTCATGTGGTGCTTCTCACAATATGCTCTAAAGGGAAAACATAAAGACAAAGTTTGCGCTCATATACGTATTCACAGACAATCTAATTTCTCCAAATAATGCGACGATGAAAAGTCACTATAAAATGTTATTAAAACCGGTAACCGACCTCGGCAGAAAAATTGGAAATATAAATTAGTATGCGACAAAATGTACGAGAGATTTGGACTGACTAACTTCATTATCCTGGGCGCATCCTACTGTTTCCCATGTTGTTACGTAAAAAGCGATAACTGAGTAAATAGATAAGTACGTGGATTTCCGAAATTATTTGTTACAATAAATGATTAACGTCATGATAAAGATGATTCCGAGTAACCTCACAGCAGACAAACTATATGATGTTTATTTCTGGCTCAATGAACTTCAATTGACATTTCTGTATCGAAATGGAGTTCTAGGTAAGCAAATTGTAATTCAGAATTTTTGTATCTCGATTGTTGGAATCCTGGTCAGTCAGTAACAACGTAGAACTTCGTATGTACGTATATCAGTCCGAGTTGCCATACCACATTAGCACACAGATACAATTGTCGATTCAAATCCCATAGTGGTAGAGGTAGTAAAAGTATAAGCGATAATCGGAAATATTAGCGCTGAAGATGTTATTCAAGGAGCATAAGACAGTGAAATAAATTTAAAAAGAGAAAAAAGAGACATGAAGTATTCAGAAGATTAAAATTTGGGAGAACACAAATAATGGATGCACTTGCGACATTGCAAACGATTATGAGCCATGTCATTCAAGGTCTCTAACCATCGGTTGCTATCGTCTCCTGGATCCCAAACAGGTAATCTACACCTACCAACATGGCTCAGTCCACTTGTCACTGACTTCATGGATTTGTACCATGTTTTGGTCAGGTTGGCCCTAGCTTTTTTCCAACCTACTCCTACACCATAAAGCATCGCACATCGGGGTAGTCGGTGGTTAGGCATACGTAACACGTATCCCAGCCACCGCAGCTGATGAAATTTCACTACTTCAATTGATTTGCCATCCTTACCTAGTACGTCTCCTAACAACTACATCACTTACTCGGTGGTCCCAGGATATACGAGCAATTCTTTGAAGATACCAGTGATCGAATACTAGTAACTTACGAATATCCTCTACTCATACCGGCCATGTTTCACTGCCATAAAGTAGGAAGGAACGAACTGCTGCACAGTAAACACGTCCTTTGGTTGGTAGACGGATATCTCGCCTACGCCATAAACGACGGTCGGGTTGAATCCCGGTGACGGTGTGGCAGATGAAAGAACACCAATCTCGATTTTAATGACGGATTTCAGAATAAAGGCACGTATATTACAATATGGGACATTGCATGAAAACGTGTCCGCTCAAGATTCTTTATTGATGATAAATGAATGGTCTTATCTTCGAGTATAGACACATGAGCCGTCTGCAGTACGACAAATTCATAGACTGATGCCATATTTTAGTTTGACCGTCCCCAGCTATCTATTTTACTTTTACATGAGCCAATATAGCGTGTGAAAGGCTGACATTCGTAATACACGTCTAAACCATCTCAGATGACAAATATCCACAATTTTAACAACTGATCGGTTACGCTTGCTCAGTACCTTGAGTTTAATTTAAACATTCCTCACTTGTGGCTTGAAGACACTTGTGACCAAATACTAGTAACCTACAAAATATCCTCTATTTTTAATAATCATGTTTCACATCTAGAAAGTAGAACAGGGCGAGCTACTACTAGGCAGTACACTCGATCGTTGTTTGGTAGACAGACATTTCGCCTACTCCACACGCGACGCAAGTTGGTGTAAGCCAACTGAGCTTTCCGAATCTCTTCCGAGATTTCATCAGACGCCAATCCACCAGGGTTAGTGAGACTTCTAAGATAAATGAAATGGTCGATATGTTTTATTCACTAACATTAGTTTAGGAGTTGGTGCAAGCCATCCCTGAAGCAGTGTTTTGCATTTAGGAGAGAAACATCACAAGCATGGCTGCATAATTGCGCAAAGCGATCAAGGGACTCAGAATTTATTGAGCATCACCAAACAGAATTGTATTATCTGGGTATTCTACGACAGTAAGTGAATCTCCTGGTACGAGGCTAATCTTATTTATTTATCTAAACACAAGCATTGGTACAAAGAGGCATCAAATAGATATGCGCCAAATAAACCATTCAATTTGTGTGAGGGCTGGGATACTGCCCGGGTGCTCAAACCAAAGCATGTGGTTTTCATAGGAGGCCACACTTGGAGCCTTCGACCTAATGGTCTGATTCACAAGGGAGTGGAGCATCATAAGAAGATGCAGTCCCATGGTAGCCGATGACCAACGATCGGTTTGTACGTCATTTGTCCCCTCAGGGTACTGGAGCCCATGTGCACCATTGGTTTGGAATCACAGTTCTCCAACTCCCCTAGGTAGACCTCCATGTCCACCAACCTAGTTAAAGCGCCAGACATCCGCTTTTCGTCCTCTCAATTTCGTAAACAACACCCCCGCCACGAGAAGGCAGAGGCTATATACGCGTGGACATGTGAGGGAATTTCGACAGACGACTCTCCCCACTCCCAGCCGTAGCAGGGCATTTAAGGGCCGCCTGCTGTGTCACATTTAGATGTTACATTCGAACTGCTTTACTAGATGTCGTTGATTCATCAAATGATGTTGTAGACAAGATCGCTAGCACAATGGGACAAATGAATTCGGTTCGCGAACTGTTCCTCAAGACATGGAATTTTAGAAATTTACTGCCTAAAATATGACTTTGTGATTATTAGTTTTTTCAGCAAGTTTTGGCTTCACCAAAGCACAGTTTTCTTTTTTTATCAGTTACCTACAGTTTAATATGCCATAGTAGAGGAAATAAAAATGCCCGTCTGGGTCTAGAAATAACTTATTAATGAGCCGTATTTACAGAATCCACTCCTAAAAGAACACTTGGAAGACAACCAAGACAGAGTACAACACGCCAGTAGTTCAGATTGTTATAGCAAATGCGTCAGTTTGAGCATCAACAAACCGATGAACTATGTTCAACAAAAGCAACCAATGCACCTATAGTATAAAATCATTTACATTTTCGAAAGCGTGTATTAAGTTTGATGCAGTATCACTGCAACTTCCTTAGTAAACTTGTTCGGTAGAAGACTGTAATCCCGAATTCCAGCTTTCTGTATAGAAGAGACTCATAGAGGATAATGATTTATTAATCAACTGAGATTACGTGAAGTCAGATATTCATAAGTGTAGAATTTAATGTGTGTATACAATCAACTAAGTACTTATCGCATAAAAGTTGGAGATGTCTGGTTTTGCATAACTCGATGTGTGCATAAGGACGAACCTCTTTGCTCCCTTAACTAGTTGTGCTCCGAACTACTTTGGAACGTTACCCAACTAGATGTCATGACTATCACAAGATCTCATCTTTACTAGCATGAACGAGACAAAGTAGGGAGAAATATTTATTATACCTATATTGCAGGTAGTGCCCCAGTTTATCAGAAAGTTTCTAATGGATATCATATTGGGAGTGAATATTTTGATTTTGTGGTCCTATCTTAATTTGAGGTTGTATTTGTACATTTTTAGTATGTCTTCAAGAATGTGGTGGAGTTCAGTAATATGACGTGTAAAAGACATTAAACTACCAGAAATGGGTTTTTTCCTACTAATTACCCCCGGTATTGACACAGACGACTTGATGCTTATAAACACAATCTAAGGATTGTCGTGAGAAATACGGAAAATGTTCAACATCTACAGGAATGTCACGAATTTACGGTACATAGCTTAAAATTTACACGGGATAATAGACTACGAGTAATCAGAGACTTTAGTTATTGGTCAATATTCTATATTTCGGTCATTAAACCTAATACATCTCGGTGGTTTTGAATGACCAAGTCCTTTTAGAAAGTATGATAAGTGCTATGAAAAACTGGTATCTATCACCAACTAAATTTGGGTATAACAGTTACGAAAATGATGGTACATTCCATAACTTTTCTAAACTATGAATGAAACATTTTGCGAATCGAAAAGTGCTGGCGAGATAACTAAAATAAACAATCCGAATAAAACACTTGGTACCACGTTACTTAAAAAGAAATGTCGGTATTTTATCATAATCGAGTCGGAAATTATATACCTAGAATTCAACCGTTTATAACATCTGAAGAGCATGGATCCTATGGACATGACAAGGCTATAAGCTAAACGCTGAATGTACCTGTAGTCATCGTATACTTCATCTTTTCTTAAACAAGTTGATGGATCTTCTTCTAGATGAGACATAATCCACGTGTAGGCTTGACTTTGCTCTACTTGATTGGATAAGTGAAGCGAAGACTGTCCACCCGGTGAGAAAAGGCCAATACCCAGAGAATTGACGTCGTAACCAGAGGAAACTTCCAGTTCATCACCCGCAAAGCCAAAAGAAGTATTGCTGATACAATGAGAACCGTGAGTATTATCCACCGGGAGAAGTAGGCAAAAAAGAAGCTTTTCAACATCTTTCAAGGAGGCAACTTCCTGAATCAGTGTGTCGATCCTAGTGCGTGTATCCTGACTAGGAAGATAATAATATAACAAAAGAATAGCAACTTACGTTATAATGCCAGATAAGCTTGATTTCAAAAAATCATAGCCATTCTTGGCGCAATCCTCATCTTGATCTTCAGATTTCAGCATGAAAGTGATTCAGTGAGATATTTTCCTGATTTAGGCTCCTGTTAAATTGTTTTGTAGATCCTCAAAGACGGTGACAAGGTAATTAAAATGCATAATACGCCTCTACAGTAGGCGAAATTGAACAAAGAGCCTCAGTAAAGGTGAAAGGCAATAACATGCGATTAAACAAACACCACAAATAATTTTTCGCTCAGGGTTCAATGCTAATTGTGCAAAATGATATGTTTGTTTCACGCACAGTCACTGTTGTAAAATGCTTGTTTGACGTTATAAAACATCAAAAAAGTTATCCAAATCGACATATACTAAGTTTTGATCGACCACACTGTCACTGGTGTCGTTGCTCAAAAAACTCCATCTCAATCATCTAATCTCCTGCTTTGTAGATCACGGTTTATGATTAAAAGTTAAAATCGTATTATTACATCCTTTCAGGCCTTCAGGACCAGTGAAATGACATAGGACCCTATCCATATCATCCGTCAATCGAGTCACTGAATAGCAAACGGTTTTCTGATCCCCGTCAAGGTAAAGGGTGATCAATGCGTGATAATAGATTGCACGCCATGGACTGGGCCATGCAGCATTGGTCGCAATCCGTTCCTTATACCCACTCATCAATATATTTTCGTGATAATGTCGTTTGTGTTGCATGGTCATCAATGCAACTATAGTACCTGGATATGACGAAAGGTTAATCAACGTTAAGCACTAACTATGAGTTGACTGGTCATACTATTCCTGTCTCACTCAAAAGGTGCCTAACCATGCGGCATAGATCACCTACGTTTGGTGACCTTAACTAAAACGATATTTGTAGGATTTGCTTGACAGACATCTTCATAACTGAGAAAGATTTGAGAAAAATGGTAGGCTATGCAAGAAGAAAAAACAAGCCATATCTCAAAAGCCGACTTGTTTGATTAAGCAGGGAATCATAAGGTTGAATTTTATGGCTATAGTTATGATACCTACCAGACAGAAAAGTTCAAGAATATGGTATATGGGCCATTTCGGTGATGCTTTCAGGCCATGATTAGTGCTGTTTATTTAAAAATTCTGGTCCATTCTGTATGTGGCTTAGCTTCGTGCGTTGGTGTTCTGGTCAGTCTAATTTATTTGCTTATTTCACACATATATATGCAGATGTTTTTTTGTGGTATAACAAAAGCCATAACATCTTACCGGGCACTGCATACAAAGAATTTGATTCTTACCAAACAATAATGGATAGATCTAATATTATTAGTCATAACCCTAGTTATGATATTTGAGGAACCAAAAAATCTGAACATTTTTTGGTGATGAGAAAGTAAAGGCCGAAAGTTATTTTGCAGATATCCTCCAAAGGCGCTGTAGAATTATAGTCTAGTTCGATATAAGTTCACTTATCTATGCTACTAAAGCAACAGATCTATTCCGCAACTGTAATTTATATTATCTACTTTGAAGTCACATCTTCTATACTGACTAGTCCTGAAGTGATAGTCAGTAATCTGATATTCAGCACCTTCGGAAAACACATTTGGTCTTGAGGTAGGATAGCATGTTTAATGTGAAGAGGATTGAGTCATGCAAAGTGATCATGCCTACATGGTCAAGCCATGAGATTTCCATTTTGTTCCGACATTTATCATTTTTGGCCACCTGCGAGTGCTACATGGTGAATGTTTCGTGCCTTTAGGTAACCCTCGTGCTATTGATAGAAGAAACCAGAGAAGTAGTGAATAGGTCTTTATTTCGATCTTCGCGCAGTCACAGTGGAGCGTGGGATTATCTGTTCAGACAAACAAAGGCTCTCAACATTCAATATAAGATAATAGGGAATATAACGCTTATAAAAAATAAGGAATTGAATGAATACTTGAACAATACTGTTTTGGCATATGCTTGGTTGTTTGGGGTCAACTCTTAACCAACCAACCTGAGCTGTTACATTAGCTTCCCCCTAGAATCGACTTCCGTAGGAACGTCGGTTTGATTAACCTATCTATCGAAAACACCTTAGTTCTATTTCTCATCCCAAGGGAAAATTATCAACTCGCTCACTGTTTGACTTGTAATCAATGACGACTAACTCCGTCGGCAATCAACGATAGTCCATGGATGTCTCTTCATTTGCTAACCTGTCATCTTATTTTGTAGCGTGTGATTTCTTCTGCAACTATCTCTGACAGTTTGCTACGTGCCCTCAAGAGAAAGAGTGTGAGAATGTGGAACAAGAATATCTGAGGAAGTGCCGCGAGCGGGCTACTCAACACCATGTTGGTGAGGTACGATTTTTCCATGCTCAGACCGGCTATCAGGTGTTTACTCACCTGCCTCTTGAGTCGCCCTCAAGTAAAAGGTAAAGAAGAATCTACTTCAAAGGTAATGGTGAAAATCAATCAAACCTGAAGAACTGTTCCACTGCCTGCATAAAATAATAAGATACAAAATGGAAATACATAAATGTAATTGATAATTGTTCGGTTCCATGTAAGTGCTTGGCCTCCAGAACGGACTGGTATTCTGGAAGGAAATAGACATAGTGTAGATATCTTGTGCACGAAAAACCATGAAAACAAAAAAATACTCTTTTGTAATGCATATATGTAAAAGGGTGAACTTGCTAGAAGTTGGAGTCTTTGACAAAATCGATCAAATGCATGACCTTGAGCCTGTGATGACCGCCTCTTACAACTAGGAGCGTAACCAAGGGTGCATCAGAATACTCCACAAAACGGATAAGAATATACGGTTAAGAAGCAAAAAAATTGTGTAGAGTATGCGGATCAAGTACAGTTCTAAGTAATTTAATGTTCAGCATCAATGATCGTGCTTCTAGGAACCAAAACCACTACAGGCCCACTACATCACCTAATAGTAAGCCCCATATTTTACATGTCTTGACGACGAAAACAGTCACGCGCATTTTCTGTACTGTCTCTATACAAAAATGACGCCCTATCAAGTTCACTTTAGCACCAAGACATATTATTGACCTGTTGGGATTAGTGATATTGCAAACGGTAGGACTTATTATGATTACACTGCCCCTGATCATTCCGTACTGTGCAGGTCAGACATTTAATGATTCTAAGTATAAATATCGCGATTAATAATTTGGTACGAATGACTTCCTTAGCGTTCGAGGATGGTGGTATCCCTCTTAAAACAGAGGAACACAACGAAGTTTAGTTTCGAAATAGGTTCTAGCAAAATTTTGTGAGCGACTTTGGGCAGTTGTAATGGTATTGGTCCCCAAACACACGATCTTTGAAGCCTCATATAAGGTAACTGTGAAGACCTACATTAAACGTTGAACACTTGATTAAATTCATGTATGGTGGGAGCGAAAAGATTTAATTTAGACGGCATGGGTCGGCCTTTCAGGTGTGGTCTTTCTTCATCACCTCATATTTAATCATATTGAATATGTTACTCCACCCCCATCTTGGTTGTGTTCTTTAGAACCAGGTGGCTTTTAAGATAGGACGGGCCAGTATAGATGATGATGTGACTATCACTTCAGATGCAATAGATTACGAAGTCACGACATAGCAAATCTAAAAATTTTGATCAGGCTGTAGTGGCGTTGGGCCCTAACCACACAATCCTCAATGCTGAACACGGAACATCTGGGAAAATAGATATTCAACATTTAACACGGAGAAAAACCCAACGATGTAGAAGGCGGGAGGAATCAATTCAATTAATCCGAATGAATCGGGTGGCTTGGCTCAACCTTGCAAGAGTGGTCACTCTTGAGTGTTGCCATATATCTTTTATTCATATTAATTATATTTTCCTATCTCCAACATAAATGAGTTCTCCACCATTTATTGGTGATTGTTACGATGCAATGAGTTAGTGTAGACGATGGTGTGAATTCCACGTAAGATCTTAGAGATTAGGCAATTATATCATGACAAATCTACAATTTTTCGGATTAGGTCTATTATTCGAGCAGTACTTATAATGAAGCAGACCATAATTCTACACTGGTGAGCCCAAAGTGAATAAATATTCTAGTAGCATAGATAGGTACATTATTACCTATTATTGCCTTAATTATACATAGTTTCTCAAATAAGTCACTCCCATTTTTTGTGAGAAATACCCTGATACAATACAATTTGTTAGTTCCAGAATACAAAAACATGAACAAGTTAACATGTCAGGTGGAGTGATATCTGGGACCTCTTCTGATGTAGGAAATGTAATGACTTTGCATACACCCACGTTAATTTATTCCCACTCGAATAGATAATAATAATTTAGATACCCTTTTTATCCTCCTAATAACTCCACAATCTTCAATGATAATCGGAGCTTTCTATACATGCACATGTTTTGTACATGTCCTTGTTAATTTCGCCTTTTATATAGATGGTTCTTGTATGTGTCCATGTTGTGTGCATGTTTGTAATAAATTATCTTATCTGTCAGTTTAATGCATAACGTAAGACATAGTTATTTAAGGTGTTAGTTTGTGCGTTGATTTCATTCTTCAATTTTTAAGCTACTCTACTGATTCCTTTGTGCTTATATGAATGTTTGTGTTAAGCCTACAGTAGATGCAATTATGGTGGTTGACAACAAGTAATGGAATCAGAGTACAATAGTTATCCGTTCGAAATAAACCGAACTTGAGAAGAACAAAATCACAAAAAAAATTAAAATGTTTTTTATTAATAAACAACTGTACCGGATGCAACACCAAACTAGTTTAGAATTAACAGTACCAAATATTTAATGTCTACAATAGTTTTAACTAGGTCCAATTCAACTAGAGATGTATATAACTCCTCGAATAAGTAATTCTGTAAGTCACCGAC